TATATATATATATATATATATATATATATAATATATATAAATATATGAAAAATTAATGTGGGTACTCAAATGAAAGGTCTCGGTGAGTGTAACATCGGGATGAGCTCATATCTTAAAAAATGTCAATATTTTACTAGGTACAAGATCATTTCTTATAATTATGTATCTAGAGATAGTGCATTTTCAAATGCAGCCTAAATACTCATCATCATAAATTGATTGTCGGTGAGAATGATATAAAACCTTGAAAAGAGGCAAATTCAAGTCAATACCGTTCTAATGATACCAAATTTCACCCTAAAAACCCTTTCTATCATATAAATACACTGGCCACAAAATTTTTTTTCTTTTCTTAAGAATATAGATTAATCTGATTTTATAAAATGAAAAAATTAGTTTATTAGTCAAATAACAAAAAAGGCAGGCAGAAAAATGATCCTAAAAAATGATATGTTTCCAAAGACTAATACCGAATATGAAGTATTAATTATGTTGAATTGTACCTTTAGTTATCAGAATAAATAATGTTTATAATACTGAACATGCTAAATATTTTTGTAAAACACATAATTGCGATACAAATAAAACTCATATCTATCAATTAAAAAAAAAATGAAAATTATAATTGAATTCATCATTAAAATTGATAAAACTGATAATATTTTCATAATTCAAACATTTACTTTACAATAAGTTAATTATGATTTTAATTAATTTTTCTAATATTTTTAATAAGAATAAATGAAATGTTCAATTTAAAAAAAAATTTGTCATCCCTTGTGGGGATCGAACCCACGACCTTTGGATTAGAAGTCCAACGCGCTATCCTCTGCGCCAAAGGGACTTTCGCAGGATGAGGCGCTAAATAGTCTTACTTAAACTTAGCCATCATTTTGATCCTTAAAATCACTAATTATTTCCTTAAAATCTTAATTATTTACTTGATCAATTTAATTAGAGACTCCAAGAGCCCAAGCGTCGAAACCTGGATGTTTGAGTTGGATATTTGCGACTGCTTAGGGAACCACGTGAGAATGCCGATCAATACCAAGCACTGTACAACGAACTCTGTAAGTAATTCAAGCGTTATTAATATGAATTACTCAATAATTACGCATATAATTAAGACAATAACTTATATACCGATTCTCATTAAAGACATGATTTGTATTTGAAGAGAAGTTTGATAAACGGACGTTTCTGCGGGAATGGCGCTGCGGTTTTTCCCGGTAAAATCGAAAGACATTCCGGGTAGCGGAAACATCCGATAAATATTCGCTGATTTTTGGCTACGCAAAGAAATTGTACTATTGACATGACTGATTCCTACTAATCCTGGTCCCAGGACGTAGGAAATCGCCATGCCAACTTGGCTGGCAGCTGATGAAATTCCTGTGGCTGTTGTTCGCTCTCCAGTTGGAAACCAGACCGCTGATACTAGCGCTGTTGCGGGTCCTATTATCACTCCGGAAAATCCGTTAACTATTGCAGCGATATGAGCGGTTCTAATTTTTTTTTTTAATTGAAAATTTATGGCTTAATAATGAGAAATTTAGTGGGAGGTTTTTATTTTTTTTAGGAAAAATATCGCACCTACGTGGTGAAGACTGTCGCTTGTATGGAAAGACAACGGATGAAAGTCGCGAGTGTCGACAAGATGGCGGCTATTTTTAATGGCGTTGATAGATCTGTTTGTAATAATTTATTATTTTTTTTTCATTTATTAAGAATTGAGATTTTTTTGTTATAATGATAAAATAAAAATTAACTTAAATCAAAAAAATAATTTTGAACTTAGAAAAAAAATTTTAATAAATCAAGTAAATAATTTTGAAGAATTTCATCTTTTTTATTTGAGTAGAAAAATTCTTAAACTAAGAAATTTTTTGTGGTTTAAGTAAATTTTACTTGATTCGAGAATTTTTCATCTTGATGCAAGAAATTGAAACTCTTCAAAATTATTTTTTTGGTTCAAGAATTTTCCTCTTTTTTTTTCTCCAGTAAAGAGCTTCATTGTCTTGATTCAATTAAGATAGTTCACTCTCAATATATAATTTGTGCTATTTCTTCCTTTTTCACTCGCTAGTGCTGTCTTTCTCACGAGTTATCTCTCATTCGCTTTCACTAATGGTTATTTTTTATGTTTAACTGGCCAGTTTATTAACAATTTATAAAAAACTACATGGTCAAAATTTTCAAAATTTCTTTGGATTATTTTAATTATATTATTCTAACAGTTTTTTGAAACGTAAAATCCTTTCAATGCAATAACCATTAATATTTACACTGAAAAAAAAATTAACTTGATTCGAGAGGAAAATTCTTGAACCAAGAAAATAATTTTGAAGAGAGTAATTGTCTTAAATCAAGACGAAAAATTCTTGAATCAAGTAAAATTCACTTAAACAAAATAAAAATTTCTTAGTTTAAGAATTTTTCTACTCAAATAAAAAAGATGAAATTCTTCAAAATTATTTACTTGATTTATTAAAATTTTTTTTCTAAGTTCAAAATTATTTTTTTGATTTAAGTTAATTTTTATTTTATCATTATAACAAAAAAATCTCAATTCTTAATAAATGAAAAAAAAATAATAAATTATTACAAACAGATCTATCAACGCCATTAAAAATAGCCGCCATCTTGTCGACACTCGCGACTTTCATCCGTTGTCTTTCCATACAAGCGACAGTCTTCACCACGTAGGTGCGATATTTTTCCTAAAAAAAATAAAAACCTCCCACTAAATTTCTCATTATTAAGCCATAAATTTTCAATTAAAAAAAAAAATTAGAACCGCTCATATCGCTGCAATAGTTAACGGATTTTCCGGAGTGATAATAGGACCCGCAACAGCGCTAGTATCAGCGGTCTGGTTTCCAACTGGAGAGCGAACAACAGCCACAGGAATTTCATCAGCTGCCAGCCAAGTTGGCATGGCGATTTCCTACGTCCTGGGACCAGGATTAGTAGGAATCAGTCATGTCAATAGTACAATTTCTTTGCGTAGCCAAAAATCAGCGAATATTTATCGGATGTTTCCGCTACCCGGAATGTCTTTCGATTTTACCGGGAAAAACCGCAGCGCCATTCCCGCAGAAACGTCCGTTTATCAAACTTCTCTTCAAATACAAATCATGTCTTTAATGAGAATCGGTATATAAGTTATTGTCTTAATTATATGCGTAATTATTGAGTAATTCATATTAATAACGCTTGAATTACTTACAGAGTTCGTTGTACAGTGCTTGGTATTGATCGGCATTCTCACGTGGTTCCCTAAGCAGTCGCAAATATCCAACTCAAACATCCAGGTTTCGACGCTTGGGCTCTTGGAGTCTCTAATTAAATTGATCAAGTAAATAATTAAGATTTTAAGGAAATAATTAGTGATTTTAAGGATCAAAATGATGGCTAAGTTTAAGTAAGACTATTTAGCGCCTCATCCTGCGAAAGTCCCTTTGGCGCAGAGGATAGCGCGTTGGACTTCTAATCCAAAGGTCGTGGGTTCGATCCCCACAAGGGATGACAAATTTTTTTTTAAATTGAACATTTCATTTATTCTTATTATTATTATTATTATTATTATTATTATTATTATTATTATTATTATTATTATTATTATTAATTTTTATTTAATCTACAAAATATTCAAAATAAACCAAATTTTTTACTGTTGAAAAAATTAAAACAAAAATAAACCCATAAAGAATAGAAGCATTAAAGAAAAGTCATAATCTCTTAACTGGAGTAAATTAAAAAGAGATTTGCAGCAGTCTGAAGTCTGTAGCCAGGGACCTGCATTGTCGATTCTGTAGTCGGGTTCCACATCTAAAGGGTGATAAAAAAGGAATTTAGAAGGTATAAGAGAATGGAATACAAGCGGATAAAATGTCTCTTCTCGAGTAGAGCCAGAAACTCAAAGCTCTAAAGCTTTTGTGTACTAGAGATGCACCGCCCTATAACCCTGATGTATACCATCAAAAGCTACCTTAAAACCCTTAACAGCAGGTTAAACGAGGTAACTTAAGCTCTGTAAACACTTAGATTGATCATACAGTTAAGCGATAAGCTAAAATGTGCGTGTTTCAGTCTAATGCACCCTCTCGAAAATCAAGTCATCCTCAGTAACTTTATATCTCTGTTTTGTTGGACTTTGATTGTCCTAAATATACTAAAAATAACCGACTGCTACTGAATACTACTGACTATTCATATATTTTAATACTCCCAGCGAAATTTAAATAAAATTAGTCTGCTTCAGTGGATCTACTTTTTGGTTCGTTAACGAGATAAGTCTTTTAGGTTTTATCATTTTAAAGACGACTTAATTGGAAAAATTTTTAATTAGATCCCCAGAGATTAAGGTATTTTACTTGGAAATTTTGGCTTTTAAGCTTTGACGGAATTTTTAAATTAAGAGTTATTGTTTCTTCAAAATTGATAAAAAATTAATTTTTAATGATTTTAATAAACATAAATGAAAATTTTTGTTAAACAAATTTATGTACTTAATTTCCGAAAATTTGCATCTGGCCAAATTGGCTTTGGCATAATAATAAAATTAATCTAATCTAATCTAAAAATTTTTATCTTAAAAAAATTGAACAGTTTCAACAATTTGATCTAATTTTTTTTTTATTCCAAGAAGAGTTACAAAATTCTACAAGATATTTAAAAATAAAATTTTTGATCATCTGTTAAACTTAGATGCTTTATTATGATATACTCAAAATAAAAATTGATGTATTGGATGTAAGCATATCATGTGAACTTATCAGATAAATTAAAAATTTAATTAATAAATCTTGTTGTGAATCTTCAATTTTATCTATTTATATTTAGAGTCATCTTTAGCTAATTTTATTAAATATCAATGATAATTATAAATTCTGTGATATTAGTTATTATAACAAAATGTTAAATTATACGTCGTTTATAAGTTGTTGTTTAAATTCTAATTAATTGTACCAAATTTAAAAATATAAAAATAGTTGTTAGTAACCCATTATCAAATGAATTGTAACTTTATCATTACAGTTTTTATAATATCAATTATGTAATTTATTAACATGTCATTTTATTTGTATCTTAAATATTGCCATCTGGCCGGTAGGCCTTGGCATAAATAAAGTAAGGTAAAGTACCCAGTACTTGAACACTTCTAAAAATGGGACCAGTAGTTGAACCGACTTTTAGAATTGTAATACAAAATCTGTATATATAATATTATGAGTAATATGCGCATGTTACAATTATTAAATTTTACAGTAATTGATTTTGGTAAATTTTTTCAATTATAAATCAAAACAATTACATTTTTGTTTACTTTAAAATTGACATGTCGAGAATAACCGATAGATGCTATTTTTTTCATGAAAAAGGTACTAAACCCTAAACCGAACAATCAGTAAAAAAAAAACGGTATATCATCATTTGAAGTGAAAAAAATTGTACCACCCAATGAAATAGTCTTTTCTAAATAATACATATTTTTTAAAAAGGCATAAACTATAATTTTTATATTAAATTTTAGCGTTCAACTATACCTCCCAATTTTCAAAGCGGTATCCAGAACTTGAACAAGCTGGGACCATATAATTTTAACAGCACTCTAACCTTTAATAGGTTTATAGACTAGTGATCAGTATTGTGATTTGTATTAATTACTGTAAATTAAATAAGTTTTATAACTAAAAATTAGTATAGTTAAAAATTATTGAACGTTTTGAATTGAGTTTTTTTAATTTATAATTGAAAATTTACTTTGTCATTCATAAAAAATGTAATTAAAAAATCAAATACAAATGTTTCTCATTTTTAAATGAACATATTAAATATCCACAGTATTATTTTTAATATTATTCAATAATATGTTATAAATCTTTGAATATTTCAATAAAACGTTAAAAATTTTTGGTGTGCCTATTGCCATATATTTTATTAGTTCAACTTCTGCTCCCGGAGTGTTCAACTACTGCGGCTTGTCAGAATTGATTGTTCAACTACTACTCCTTTCATAGTCTATCTTAAAAACGTTGTCAAATTATAAATATTCAATTATTTGCGTTATTTTGCACTTCAATCAATTCAAAATTGTTTATATTTTCATGAAAATCACTAATTTGAACTAATTATTACATCTTTATATATTAAAAGTAAGGTCAAATACGTTTTACTTTGAAACCTGTTCAACTACTGGGCACTTTACCTTACGTTTTATTAATTTAACTACAAAATATAAAATTAACCAATTCGGGAATTTTCACGATGTAACATCGTGAATTTTAATATCTATACACAAAAAACAAATTTTTTGTGCCAAGAAAATTTTTAAAGAAAACGAAAGTTATTTTGGAGCAAGAAAAAAATTTCTTGGCTCAAGAAAATTTTCAACCTTTTTTAATATTTTCTTGAGCCAAGAAAATTTATACTCCAGTCAAGAATTTTATTTATCAGTGTAAAATTATGTAAGTAAAAATATTAAAAGTCTGGTTCTGGACTATGATATTACAATTGTAATTTTCCCTAACAATTTTTCTCCGTATAAATAATTCTTCATAAAATTCTTCATACACAGAAAAAAAAAATTTACTTGAACCAAGTAAATAATTTTGAAGAATTATTATATAAGAACTAAGAAATTTTACTTGATTTAAGTAAATTTTACTTAATTCAAAAATTTTTCGTCTTGATTCAAGATAATAAACTTCTTCAAAATTATTTTCTTGGTTCAAGAATTTTACTCTTGATTCAAGTTAATTTTTTTACTGTAGTAGGGGAGTATGGGGTCACCCCGGTCACCTAAGAAGTGAATTTAAAAAAATATTAAAATTATCATTTTGGAATAATAAAAAAGACTTTATTCAATTCTTTGACATCTGAAGAACTAAATGCAATGACTAAAAAATATAAGTATGAAGATAAATAAAAATATTTGAAGAATTATAGAAATAATGAGTTTGATCGGGGCGACCCAACGTGTTGGGTCACCCCGGTCATTAAGCAGGTCGCTCCGGTCAGTATTAATTTTATTTAAAAAATTAGAAACTCCGAATTATATTGTTAAAATTTAATAAAAATTAAAAATTAATTTTTTTATTGAAACTTTAGCAGCAAATAACATTGATATTGGTAATTTTTAACATTTAAACTTTCTGTTTTTTAACTATTCGCGGCACGAAGAGTTTCAGGAGTAGTCCAATTTCCCCTTTCAGTTTTCCGGATTTTTTTACGAGGCATCTATAATTTATTTATTAATTTATAAAAAATATGACCTTTTAAAAATAATTGATCCATTTTTCTTTATTTAAAATTACGAGATAACTTACCGTAATTGATAAATTAATTAAAAAATAGTGGTTCGTTTTAAATAAACACACGAGCTGTCAGACAATAAACAATTGAATAAACTGACCGGTGTTACCTCACAGCTTTGACTGGTATGACCCCAACCGATAGTTGAGAAAATAAACTTTATTTAAAAAAAAACGATTAATAATTACAGTATAATAAAAATTACCACTTATAAAGGAAGATTTATAGATTATACACATAAAAATTAGAAATTTTTATCTTGCTGTAAACTATATTAAAAGCCTTACGGAAATGATTCCGATTCTTAGATCAAATGGGAATCAATTTTTTAATTTTTAATTATTACTAATAAATACTATATTTCTAAGTTTTGAATCTATTTTTTACTCTCAGCTGAATAAGAGTACAAAATAAAACAAAATTCAAAATTTAAGGTATAGTAGATTTTTTTAAATGTTGGTGACCGGGGCGACCCCAAGCTCCCCTATATTAAAATATTGACAATTAAAGCATATCTTACATATATATTACTACTAATTGCGTTACATTTCTATTATTTGCGAGCGCATTTTGTTAACAACTTTGTATTGTATAATGGTTAATTGCTTTAGGTAGTAAATACATTATTTTATAATCTAATTAAATTAAGAAATAATAAATTAATAATAAATAATTGTACTTACAAAGATTAGATTTTACCGAAACATCTTTGATAACAACAACCCATTCATATTTTTGATTTTCGGATGATTCATTTAAGTCATTGCCCTTATTAGTATTGTTACATTCAATCGAATGTACTTCAGAGATAATTAATGAAATTAATATTATTAATATCGACATCTTATGCATATCAATGAAGAATTTTTGAATTCCGATCATTTTCTTAATTTCAGAACTTTGGTTTTGCCACGACGACTTGTAGATAATTATTTTAATTTTAACTTTTTTTTATCATAAAATTTTTATAAGATAACGATGAGTAATAAAATATCTATAATTGTATCATAAATTGACTTTTAATTCCATGAACAATCAATTAAATATTAAATTTATAATGGCAACCACAAGTATCGAAATAATAATTACACCAATTAAATGTTTTGATAATTGTTTTAAAAAGTCATTCCAGAACTTAGCAAGTTATTTTTTTCAACTATCAAATTTAATAATTGATAAATTAATTAATTTTTTTGTACATTAAAAAATTTTCAATTAAAAATTTTTTATAGATTTATGTATAAGAGTAAGCGTCGAAATAGAAAAGAGTGGGAATGGTGTTTAACAAACAAGCCAATCAAAATTACCTAGCTAATCGATATAATTAGGGGTAGCCAATGAAAATTAGCATCAACGAGACATGCGCCTTTACGTATAATAATCTACATATATGTATGTTGGATGATTTTCCCTCGCGTTTCTTCTATCTCTATTCCTTTGTCTTTCATATCAATGGCGCTATTTTCCTCCATAATTTTCCTCATTATCGTTCGAGTAATCCGGCTTAACTTCTTATAAACATTAAACATAACACTCTGTTCAAATATGTTATAATTTCTCATATTTTATTATTATAATAACATTAATAATAATAATAACAACAACATGTTAGAGACCGTTTATTTTTATTAAAATACATTTTTCATAAACCTAAGAGTGGTTAATCATCTGCTTACAGTTTGATTGAAGGAAAATATTCGAGATTGCTTGGAGTTCACTTATCCGTTATTAATTTTCAAATATTAAAAATCCGTATTATTATTATGACTACTTTTAATATAAAATTTCTTCTTAAAGATGAAGATATATCAATAGTTTAATTAATTTTGTAAAAATAATGATAAAAATTTATTTAAAAAAAACAGTTGTATTTATAGATTTTTGCGGAATAAAATTTTTTGATATTTTGAATAAACCCGTATATATTTCCTACTGTTCCTTAATATTTCTATATATCGATGATCTAATTAGCAATTTGTCTAACTCCTTATTTTTTAGAGGGTGATTTTTTAACATTTTGATGTAGCCATAATCGAATTATAAATTATTTGAATGATTCAAACCTAAATATTATATCTCTATTAGTTAATAATGATATTAAATGGTTTTTTAAAGTCATAATAAATTTTGAACTAATTGTTTTTTTCGTGCAAATAGAAGATTCTTTAAAATGGAGTTAGACAATTTGCTAATTAGAACGTCGATATGGTCATATGTGCCTATATATAATTTTTTGACCATATATAGTGTTGAAAGCTTCCAACAGAGGGCGCATGGCCACTAAATTTTCTTCTTACAAGATAGTCTTCTTCTTACAAGATCCATTTAAACTAAAGAATAAATTACCTCATAGTTTACTCTTAGACTAAGCAAAAAATCATCATAACTTTGTAAATATTGTATATTTTGTACATATTGTTTACTAGTCTTTTTAGTTTGTAAGTAAGCTTCTGGCTTTAAAAATTCAAGTGGTTTTTTAAATTTTTCCCACAAATCATCTAAAAATACAAAAGCATAATTTAATAAAACAAACATTTGTTAGAATCTACGGATAGAAACAAATATTTTTAAGCTATTTTCATGTAATTTATGCATGTATCACAAATTCATAAATAAGGATATTTTCAAATACAAAAAAATGCAATGTTTAATCAAACATGTTAAAAAATTTACACGTTTAATTTGATTTATACGACATTATGATTTATGATTATATCAAGACCATTATAATAATAATAATAATAATAATAATAAATAAGTTTTAATTGTATCACATAAGTTGTGTTTTACAAAGATTTTTTTTATAGTAAAAAATATACCTATGTAATTTACACTCATACTCTTTACACTCTTTCTCTTTTTAACAATGTTTCGGTTCACTATTTCTACTTTGTAGATCAGGACCATTATAATTTATTAGCTTTATTACTTGACGATTTGATCTATAATATTATTATTTTTTAAATAATAAATTTTTGACTCAAGAAGTCAAGAAAAAAAGATTTTTAATAGATTTTTTAAATTTGAAATTTTTAATAATTACAATTTAAATTCTAAACGAATTTATGTTTCATAAAAAATTATAAAATATCTAATTTCAGTGTAATAAATTAACAGAAATCTAATAATATTATGAAATTTTAATTTTAGTTAAAACATAAATTAGAATGAAGAATTAAAATTATTATTAAAAATTCCAAATTAGAAAAATTTCTAAATATTTTTTAACAATTTTAATTAATTAATTAAATAAATAAATGAAAATTAATTTTTACAAAATTTTTTACAAAACAAAATTTGTTAAGAAATAATTTTAAAAGTAAAAAAAAAAAAAAACCTGATGAAAGGTAATGAAAATATCACGGGGATGTTACCCCCTCTAGCAGCCCTCGATTTTGGTGGCGGTCATGAGCCGGGCGAACGTGTTGCTGTCAGCTCATTCAGATACACTTTCCTCTTTATATCACGTCGGGTCTCTTCGGGGCTCTTAAAACTTTTTAAAACAAATAAACAAACATACAATTAAGTCATTTAAATCAGTATCAAAATATTTATTTTTCCATAACAAAAAGTATATCTTTTTTTTTTTTAATTGTTATCATTACAGTACGTGTAAAATAAAACTTATTTTAATTCTATAAATACGATAATTTTTTTAAATGAGCGTTACATGATACACATGCATATATTATATTTATATATGATGAGAAAATTAGACGAGTGCGAATTGTGGAATTTGATGACAAGTTAAACCGTAAAACGTAACATGAGTATTTAGTGAGTGAATATTAATATAATCAGTCGTTAAAAGAAAGTCTTTGGATTAACATCACTAAAATGATTTATTAATTAATTATTAATTAATTATAAGTGATTATTAATTTTATAAAAAATGTCGATTAAATCAAACCCGCGACCTTCGTCTCCGCGGCGATTTTTCGCGCGAATTTACGGTCACCTTGAAACTAAAGCCACTGATAGCGATACTAATAGTAATAGAAATAGTGAGAGTAAAATTGTGAATAAAAGTGAAGTAAATTCGGAGGACTCGATTGCTAAGAGTTTTGCGGGTACAGAATCGCGGGTGCTCCTCAAGCGGTTCGCGGGTGTCAGAGATAAGAGGGTTGAAGATAAAGATGATGATAATAATGAGAATGAAAATAAAGATAAAGATAGAACTAATGGTGAAGTTAAGAAAGAGTTAACTAATGAAGTTGTTGGTGGTGAAGGTGATAATAATTATTCTCGGACCTTCTTGCCCCAATTATTCGCCGGAAGTGCGACGCATCTTCATCACCTGGCTCATGCTGGACATCCGGTAACTTCTATGCCGTCGCATCTTCACAATCTCGCGGGACATCCGGCAGATTCGCACTTTCATGGATTCTCTGCTTTTCGTAAGTTATTATTAGAAAAATAATTTTAAAATAAAATTTTTTTTTATAACGAAAACACAAACATGTTCAAAAAAAAATTTTTTTTTTAAATTATATGTTAGATAGATTCAAAAAGAAAAACAAATGTAATTTTTTGTAAGAAATTAAATAATGCAACCTTGCAGTCACTACGTGACTTCCGAGACTTGTGAACTATAAATAAATAAAATTTTGGTTTATTAAATAATGACTTTTGTTAAATTGGACTGTATTTTTTCAACTATTGACGTTTTTAAAGATATAAGCTCATCCTGATGTAACACTTATCAAGGGCTTTCATTTGAGTACACACATGCATTTTTATATATTTTTCATAAATACATATATATATAATATATGAATATATATAAATATATGAAAAATTGATGTGGGTACTCAAATGAAAAATCTTGATGAGTGTAACGTCGGGGTGAGCTTATATCTTTAAAAATGTCAATAGTTCACAAGTTATTTATTAAATTGCACTGTACTTTCTTAACTATTGATGTTTTTAAAGATATAAGCTCATTTCGATGTTACACTCATCAAGAGCTTTCATTTAAGTACCCACATGAATTTTTATATATTTTTCATATATACATATATATATATAAGATATATAAATATATGAAAAATTGATGTGGGTACTCAGATGATAGGTCTCGATAGGTGTAACGTCGGGGTTAGCTTATATCTTCAAAAATGTCAATGGTTCACGAGATATTTGTTAAATTGCACTGTAATTTCTTAACTATTGACTTTTTTTAGGATATAAGCTCATCCTGATGTTACACTCATCAAGAGCTTTCATTTGAGTACCCTTATCAATTTTTCATATATTTTTCATATATACATATATATAACATATATAAATATATGAAAAATTGATGTGGGTACTCAAATGAAAGGTCTTGATGAGTGTACCATCGGGATGAGCTTATATCTTTAAAAATGTCAATATTTCTCAAGATACAAGGTAATTTCTTAATTATGTATCTAGAAATAGAGCATTTTCGAATGCAGCCTAAATACTTATCATAATAAATGGACTATTGGTAAGTACGATATAAAACCTTGAAAATTCACAACTCCAGGTGACCTTTGTAATGATACCAAATTTAACCACAAAAATCCATTTTATCATATAAATACACTGACCACAAAATTTTTCTTATTCTCTTATATATTGACCGGAAAACTAAATTAGCTTATTTTTATAATATTAACAACAAGTAAAAAATTTAATAACAAAATTAGACAAAAATTATTTATACATGTGTGAAATGCATGTACGTCGGAAGAAAAGGAGATTTTAGTGAAAAAAGGTAAAATCCTCAAAGTAAATCCAAGATATATCACATAATGTAAAATATAAGTAGTATAAGCTTCATACATATATTCTCAGACTTATATAGCTGACCACCTTGGACGTTGATTCAACTACTGTATTATTATACATATATATACTCACACGTTACTTGATACGATAAGCAGATTGTCGTTACACTGATACCCCGTGAAAAAAATTCTCAATATAATATATCCTTTTTAAAATTATTTAAAATAATAATTTTTGACAAAATAATTAAATAAAAAATTTATTTAACTCGACCCATCTATTATCTATTAACATAAGAGTACATTGCAGTCCATTGTTAACAAAATAAACGTTACGCACGCTCGCTTGGATACGCGAGTCGCGTCGGTTGCGGGGGTTTATCCCGCCTCGCCACCTCGCACCGATATTGTGATGAGATTACCGAACGCAGTTGGCCGCGTCTCAATGTTCAGCACAACACCCACCACCTCATCTCATCTCCTCGCTACACATTGCTTCCGCCGGTTCCTCTAGCTTCTATTCTTCTCTTCTCCACCCACAATCTTCCTTCTTCCTTTATATCTATTCTTCCATCCTCTATCCTCTTCCTATCTCCTACATTTACTGCGAGTACTTTAGCACTCCAGTACTCACTATCCTCTTTTGCAAATCTGTTACTTTAACTATAACAATAATTACTCTACAATTACCGCAATAAGACGGATTATGCTTATTTTTTTATAATTATTATACTTTAAATTTTAATTTAAATAAAATCAGTGTGATGTTGAAGTGATATAATACTCCAAACTGTAACTGGATATTGTCAGTGCATTACAACGTATGCGATAATTAGGATGCGGGGCAAAACGATACCGGAAGTAAGTAAGCACGAGGCTTCATGCTTAATCTCGTCGAGTGAAAACGGATACCGGATCCTAATTGTTACTCTTACATGTGAATTATATTATATTAATAATAATAATAATAATAATAATGATAATATAACACGATTATCGTATTCATATTCGTATTATTTATAAAACATTTTACTTTCAACAGGATGTAATTAAAACTCTTACTTCTTGTTGTTCTTATTAGATTAATATTGCGCGATCAAAATTTTCATTTTTTTTTTCTCACGTCGTTTTTTATTTCTAGTATTTTTGGGAATATCTATTTTTTATACAAATTTTGTAAAATTATTTGAATCTTAAAGAAAAAGGACGACATTTTTTTAATTATTGAAGCAATAATTAAAAGAAAATGAGAAATATCTGATTTAATTGACAATTATCAAATTTTATTAATATTTTACGAGCAACCTTGCAGTCACTATGTGACTGCCATGACTTGTGAACTATAAATAAACAAAATTTTGCTTTATTAAAAAATGAATTTTGCTAAATTGCTCTGTACTTTTTTTACTAATTGAGATTTATGAAGATATAAGCTCATTCTGATGTTACACTTATCAAGAGCTTTCATTTGAGTACACACATGCATTTTTGATATATTTTTCATACATATACATATATATAATATATATATAAATATATGAAAAATTGATGTGGGTACTCAAATGAAAGGTCTCGATGAGTATAACATCAAGATGAGCTTATATATGTAAAATTGTCAATAGTTTACAAGATATTTGTTAAATTGCACTTTAATTTCTTAACTATTGACATTTTTAGAGATATAAGCTCATCCCGATGTTACACTTATCAAGAGCTTTCATTTGAGTACCCACATGCATTTTTGATATATTTTTCATATATACATATATATTATAATATATAAATATATGAAAAATTGATGTGGGTATTCAAATGAAAGGTCTTGATGAGTGTACCATCAGGATGAGCTTATATCTTTAAAAATGTCAATATTTCTCAAGATACAAGGTAATTTCTTAATTATGTATCTAGAGATAGAGCATTTTCGAATGGAGCCGAAATACCTATCATCATATATTGACTATTAGTGAGAATAATATGAAACCTTGAAAAGGCACAACTCCAAGTCAAGACCTTTCTAATGATACCAAATTTAATCATAAAAACATATTTTATTATCATATAAAAACACTGGCCACAAAATTTTGCTTATTCTCCTAATAATTGAAAAATTTGTTTGTAAAATATACAAACAAAAGAAATTGATTTTTTGATTGAAATTTGACAATTAAAAAATCAAATAATTAATTTTTTAAATAATTAATTAAATAAACTTATGAAATTAACTTTTTAAAAAATTTTAGCTTAATTGAAGAAAAATAATATTGAACTTAAAAAAATTTTTTTTTATCATAACAATTAATAATAAACTTCATTTCTAATTTAAAGATAATTTAAAAATACTTTTCCAATAAAAAATCAACATCTCAATCACAAAGAAAAAAAAATAGAAAAATAGTATTTACAATTACAAATGTCAGCTGTTTTAAAAAGATTATTTTCCCATCGAATGAAATTATCCTCAGGCGATCACTTAATCATCCTTTAGTCTTGTCTAAACCCACCCTCGCTTTCCAAAATTAATCCAGGTGTTAGATGCTGGTGAGAACAACTCATTCATGCTGCACGTGTTCTCCTGCTCTACACAAATTGTTGTTATTCTTCTCATATTAGTGAATATTTAAATTTAAAAGCAAAATATTATAAAATAAAAATAATAGTAATATAAATTATAATAATAATAGTAAATGATAAGTACACGATGTTAATATTTAATAGCAAATATAAACAAAGCGATATGGAAAAAATAGTAGTAATAAAATAAAAATATTTACAAGCTTGTAAAGGTAAATAAAAATACACGGATGAGGTAGTTTGATTCAACCGATTTTTTTAGCACTCTCCTCTCCTTTCCTCTCTTACTCTTCTCTTTACAATTCGATGGATCGTCCTTCTGTTCGTTGGGTCGCTCGACTGTCCGTCGAATTTGATCGGATTACAGTTGGCGTAACAATAAACATGATATATATATGTATATATTTGTATATATAAATTTTCAAATGCTTACTCGTTTTCACGCACCAACCAACAAAGTTTCCATAGAATTTGCTAACCAAATAAAACGATAAACTGTTTTTATTATCATCATTATTGTTTATTATAGTAACCATATTATTATTGTTTTAATCATTTCAATAGAGATTATTATATTCAATTTTACTATTATTATTGTTATTATTATCTATATAAATCGGTTTTTTTAGAGAAATTTGGTATCGTTGGAAAAGTCTTGACTTAAATTTGTGCCTTTTCAAGGCTTCATTGCATTCTCACCAATAGTCAATTTATCATAATAAGTATTTAGGCTTCATTCGAAAATACTCTATCTCCAGTTACATAATTAAGAAATGATCTTGTATCGAGTGAAATATTGAAATTTTTTAAGATATAAGCTCATACTTGTTACACTCATCAAGACCTTTCATTTAAGTACCCACATCACTTTTTCATATATTTATATATATATATATATATATATATATATATA